GAAGATAATATGAAGGAATAGATTTTTGAGAACCTATCTATCAGTATTGCTCCTCTACGGTGACATGTGGATTTTAATTGGAGGTTTTTTCTCTTGAGGAAGCTATTTTGGATTGATCTCGGGACAAATTATTGTAGAAATTCGGAAAGCGTTTCAGGTATTCTTCTAATATTTAATTAATTTTGATTAATAGTCATGATATGCTTTTTCCGCTGCGTTGTATGTCATGATTCCAACAGGTGTACTGTAGCAAATGACAAAAAAGGTGTGATTGGAGGTGTAGTCGGGGTGTGCCCCTAGTGTCACCCTATATTGTGGGCCCTTCTATTTGTTATTTAATCGAAGCCCATATTCGCATGGTACAGCCACTTTTGTGTTGTTGAATCACCACCGTCCATCTTTTTATTCCCGAATTTTGAGGCATGGCGACTTCTAGAGTCCGAGGTCGAGGGATCGTTTTCGGACATGTACACCTGTCTAAAGCCCAGAAGGCCGTGCAAAATTTCTCCTCTTATGAGTACCTAGACTTTTCCCTTTTCCAATTAATTAAATTGTTTAGGATTAGTAAGGAGTTATATGATGTGCTTAGGTGTGATCTAGCTATGTGGTATAACTTTTTTAGCACTGAGGATTAACAATTCCTACCCCCATCCCTTTTCTACTTTTTTTTAAGTGTTTGTTTACGTGAAGTCGAAAAATAAAAAAAATATGGAAGCGATATGCTTCTCACCATTTTAGTTGTTTTTTATGGACATACTTTAAAAGATTTGTTTGTTTTATTGAAATTGTTTGCGAAATTGAAATGAAAAAAAATATCTGCATTATGACTATTTAGCAATTTGAAAGTGAATTGAAAATATGTAAGTTTTTTTTCGCTAATAACTTTCGCATCCACGTCAGCATATAAGTAAAAAAATAAAGTTACTATTGTAAATACAATATGAATCTTCGGTGGTAAAATAGGATTAATTAGTAATTATAGTTAAATAGTTTAATTAATTTTGGTTACTATTTTTGTTACATTCACATGACTTCCCCGCATTTTTAGGAGAAGTCAAAGTTGCATTAAATCCTACCTAAGACCTTTCTTGCACTTTACTTTTCGTAACTATTATTTTCTTACTTCCATCTTTCGCTTCCAAACAAGCTAGCAAACACTGCTTACATGCATGCAACTTCTGGTGAAAAAAATTGAATAAAAGTATTTTATTTTTTAACAATTATTTTTTATTTTATTTTATTTTTTATAACCTAATCCGAAGTCGAGCCCACGACTATGGAGAGCCATATTGGAACTTATCAACCGTCTAGATCACCGGCGGTGGGCTTTTTCGTAAACAATTATCAAACCGTAAAATAATTATCAACAAATATAGAAAAGGATTAATGTAACGGAAATTTTATGTCTCATGTGCATGTCGATAAAATGCATTTTTCCGCATCTAAAAAATTTATGACTTTTACAGTCTCAAATCTCAATCCATTTTCAAATTTCCAAACACTTGACGTAGAAATGGGCCAAAAACTGAAGCGACACTTCCTAATATTTTTATTTTCAAATAGCCTGAAAAAATATAGAAACCTAAATCACTTTCTAATTTTTGTCCAATTCCTTATAAGCAAAATCAAATTTGCTCCCATTGGAGAATCGAGCCGTTGACTCATCCCTTCCCCCGTTTTTGTCATCAAAAATAGCAATCAATAAACCCGCGAAAAAAAGAAATATTTTATTTGTCTTTAAACCCCTTCCCCCATTTTCTCTCTCTCTCCTCTCCCTCCCTTAAAAATCCCGATTTTCTCCCTCCTCCAATCTCCGACTCATCCTCTCTCCCTCCCCCTCCGCCCATGGACCCGTCTCTTCTCTGCCTCCGGCCCCAAGCCCAACAACTAACCGCTACGGGCCGATCCCTCCTCCTCAGGGCCCACGCGGGTCCGGTCACCGCCGGGCCCAGTCCGAGACCCTCTTCCGCCTCCCCGATGACCTCCTCTTCGACTCCGACCCCGACTTCAACATCTCCGACATCGACTTCCCCTCCCTCTCCGACGAAACCCCCGCAGCCTCCGGCGATGC